CCAAACCAGAGTTTTATTGCAGATTCGGGGTCCTCTCGCCGAGCACAGGAGGACCCCACCTTCAAAAAAAAAAAAAAAAGGCAGGCCCGGCCGGGCGGCGTCCGTACTCAGCAAAAAAGTCATTTCATAACCAGTCAAAATTTTGAAATGGTATTTACCAGTTCGCAGTAACTGATGCAGATCCCAGGGCTCAATCCCTAGACCCCCACCTTACCTGTGTACAGTACCTGTGTTGATCCGTGGAGTTGAACCCGCGACCTGTGTATTTGTAACAGCTGGTAGGTCGTCATAGGGTCCGTAGGTAGCCTCGGTTCGATCTGTAGACCTGTCCAGTAGGAGTCCAGCCAGGTCTAGAAGTCGTAGCTGTAGGCTTCTCGAAAGGTCAAGGTCGTAGCTGCGACCGGATCGAAAGGCCAAGTCCACAGCCTTCTAGAAGGGCCCGGAGGTGGCCGTTCGAGGTTGCCCACGTTTAGGCAGAGGCAAGTGGGCAAGTGGTGGAAGTCCACCGTGCAGAGTCAGCAGTCCCAGTCCAGTCAGTCCGGTCCAGTCCAGCAAGTACCGCCTGGGACTGTGTGCACCGAGGGCCAAGGGAACAGGGCAGACCGACGAGTCACAAAAGTATAAATCAAGAGGCCGCGCACAACCATTCATTCATTCCTGCGGAAGCCATGCGGAAGCGCTGTCTCAGTGGCTTGTGCGAGGAGGTCTGCAGTGACGCCCGAGGACGAAGTGGGCGAGAGAGACGAAGTGCAGCCATAGCGATAGGGTAGAGGCAGCCCTCGCTGCCATAGCTGTAGTTAGAGTGAAGTGTGTGTGTGTGTTGTGTGAGTGTTCAGAGTGGTGCATATGGGATATCCAGGGTGATCCGGTGTGTGTGAACAGTGAGGTGTGGGCGCATGTCGCCAGTTTGCTGCGATGCTGTTTACATGCATGAGAAGTGTGAGAATAGCGGGTACAATCATGAAAATAGCGAGTACCAGCTCTGATACCTCGTTTAGAGCCATCACATTAGCCGCCTCGTTTAGAGCCATCACATTATCCAAAATGATCGTGTCAATTGGGACTTGATCGTACGCCTTTTCAAAGTCGAAGAATAAGATCGCCGCTTGCATTCGTTTTTCTGTGATCTTCTTAGCCGCCTCGTTTAGAGCCATCACATTATCCAAAATGTATCGACCCGGGATGAATCCTGCTTGGTCGATGTGAAAGCAATTGTTTGCTAGTTTTGTGATTTTGTAGGCTAATGCCTTTGCTAGGATTTTGTACGGCGTTGCGAGAAGTGAGATTGGTCTGTAGTTCTCGAGGTCCTCCTTGTCTCCTTTTTTGTATATTAGTGACACTACGCTGGTGCTTAGAAATTGACCTAGCCCTGTCTTTTCCCTGCTGTTGTTGATGAAGTTCAAGAGGTCGTTGCCCACTGTTGGTCAAAACTGGATCCAAAATTCTTTGGACAGACCATCAATTCCTAGTGCTTTGTCATTTCCCATTTGGGACAAGGCTTCGTGAAGTTCCCCTATTGGACAGGCCATCAATTCCTTGTGCTTTGTCATTTCCCATTTGGGATAAGGCTTCGTGAAATCCCCCTATGGTGATTGGTTTGTCCAAGTCTACCGTTTGTTCTTGGGTAATCGTTCTCTAGGTAGGTCATCATGTGTTGACGGGCTTTGATGTTTGCTGTTGGGGGGGGAGAGGGGGTTTTGGACTCGTAGAGGTCAGCGTAAAAGGACCTGGCTATTCTTACCATGTCTGCGCTGGCTGACTTTGTCGTCCCCTGGTTTGCTGGGTCCTTCATCCCCTCGATTGTGTTGTTCCTTGTGTTAGCCTTGATCTTGGAAAAAAAGAATTTGGACATGGATTCATTCAAGATGTAGTCATTCATACGGGCGCATATCTGTAGGCCTCTGAGTTCCCATCTTCTCCGTTCATTTAGTTCGTCCTTGGTAGATTGGAGTAAGTCGTGGTCGACGGAGATGGAGGGATCTGATGCTAGGTTGGTTTTTGCGATGTCGAGTAAGATTTGTAGTTCTTCCTTCCTGTGTTTGCATTCTGTTGCTATGCTTCTACCACCAGTTCCATCCGACTGCCTCTGTCATGCGTTCAATGGATAGGAGTGAGTTGTTGAGTCTAAAGAAGCCTTGTCCTTTTTCTACCGAAGAGTTGAAGTTGAGGAGCAAGTAGGTTGGTTTGTGGTCGAGCCCCTTAAAGGCTGTTGCTGGTAGGATACCGACCTCCTTTATTGCTCCCTGCAGCATGTCTGAAATTAGGAAGAAATCGATTCGTGATAGTGATGTGTGGTTAGATCGGTTCCTCTTGACTAGGGAGAAGGCTTTCTTGCATGGGTGGAGGATTCGGAATGGGTCGACCAGGTCATCCGTAGTTGAGTGCTTGCTCGTGTGGGGAGAAATGCGATCCAGGCTGGGGTCCATCGTAGTGTCGGCTGCTATAATTAGCGGTAGCGGGGTCGGGAAAAGTGATTTGATGTGGTCGAAGAAAGCTAGGCGTTCGGCTTCCGTGTTGGGGGCGTATAGGTTTAGGATTCTGATCTCTTCCCCTTGCCATGTGATTTGGATCCATGACCATCTCCCTTCCACTGTGTCTCTTTCGCTGTTACTTACCAGACCCTCATACCATATTTTGGAAGTAGTTGGTATGAGGATTGTTGTGTCGCGGTTGCTTTGGTCCGCTTTGTTGGACCATAGTGAGAAAGGGGATTCCCCTAGGCTTTTTTCCACAGTCCTCTTTGTTCTGGTGTGGTTAGTGAGGTTGGATAGGTGGGTCTCTTGTAGAAGAATCATGTCTGGTTTGGCCTTTTTTTTCTGTGAGGCCGAGTTTGATGTCTCGTAGTTTGTCGTCTTCGTTAGAATGTTGCCCAGTCCGTTGACATTCCAGTTATGGATCGCCAGCCCTCTTGCTTGCCAGTCCGTTCTCACTGTCCCATGCTGATTTTCGTTGTTGTCCATTCGATTACGTCTGACGGGTTGTTGTACGCAACTGTTCTTGTTTTATTTTCTTCAGGGTGACAGTTATTGTGCGGAGTTCAGTAAGGGGGGGGGGGGGGGGGGGGGGGGGGGGGGGGGGGGCGTCGGGGTCTCTAATCAGCCGTTGCCGTGGTCCCTGCTCTGTCAGCTCTGATTCCTCCGGTTCGACCGCTGCCATCGTTTGCCCTTCTCCCGGCGGCGGATCCCACGCTGTATCCTCCCATGCTGCCCTCGGGTGTTGGGGTGGTACCTATCCCGTCACAGCCCGGGAATATCTTGTCGTTCAGCCCGTCCTCGTCGTCGTACTCCCTCATGTATCTGTCCTCATCCTCCGGTTCCAGGTACAGTGGCACAACTCCGTCCTGTAGGGAGTGTTTTGTGGATAGGATGTGGGATCCGATGATGGCAGCCAGGGAATCGGCCATGACCTTTGTCGGGCACATCTTGCCTGCAAGAGTGTTGTATGGCAGGGCGGTCATGGCGTTCCATGCTCTCCACACCAGCCCCTCGTGCAGCCTCGCTTTTTCTTCTAATTTTACAAGGAATGGTTCAAAAGATCTGGATGTGTCGGGCACATCGTGTTCAAGTCTTCCCCAAGGGGAACGGGGATTCCGTAGACACCTAGGGGGGAGTCTTTGGATATGCCGTCCCTGATTGTTTTGGCCAGTGTTCGATGGTCTCCCACGGTCGGGAAGACGAAGGATATGTCTCTGGCTACCTGCCACTCCCCGAACTTCTTTCTGTATCGGATGGGAACCAAGGGTCTAACTGGCTTGATAGTTTTGCGATATGAGGTAGCTTTCTTCGTGACATGGGGGGCCTTGTTGTCTAACACGTTTTAGATGGTGCAACTCTTTTTTGTGGCTTTTTGGGTATTCCGCGTTCTAATCAAACAGGCACTTTGTCTGTTGTAAGTCAATTGTCATGACGTTGAATATTTGGAATCGTTGATTACAACGAGTAGGATCCTCAGAGACTATATGCCCAACAACCATTTTATCTCTCTGGTTGAAGATATAGTCCGATGCCATTACGAAACTATCAAGTTTTATCTTTAACTTTATATCTTTATTTTCAACGTCCACTTTTGTATTTATCTATAATGCAAATTTGGGGGCATGTAATTTCACCCCCTTCACTTTTATCAAAAGCGATATCATCTCATGCTATATTGAATTTAATTCCTTCTTATATACAAGGCAAACGGTTCGATTTATATTCTGTAAATAAGATAGATTCTCTTATATATAGAAAAATACAATTAATACAAAATACAATAATTTGATTCATAACAGGAAAAATTCATAGAATCAAATAGAAAACATATTATTTTTATTCTATTTATCAAATCAAATAAATTATTTTAAAGTATTCTCATATGGTATAAATTACGTTCTAGTTTATTAAATTACCTAATGAATCTTATAGATAGAATAAATATAATAATTCAATCATTATTAACTGGGATGGGTCAACCTATGGTGGACCGGTTGTCTGCCAGTGACATTGCTGGGCAGCTACGTTGGTATGGGAGAACCGATGAAAGCATATAAGCGGGAAACCCCTCTTGACAAAAGTTATCATACAAAGTGAAAGACCATCACTTGAATAGGCGAGAAGTAATCTCCAAGATTAACATATTGTTTTTTTTTGGTCTATTTTTTTAAGACATACATATAAAAAAACAAGAATCAAAATAGGAATTTCCTATTTTGATTCTTGTTTTTTATATGTATTTCTTGAAAAATAAGAGTTTTATTTATATTTTGACATAATCAAGAATTAAGGCATTCTTTTTTTTCTAATCAAAATATTATCGAAAACTAACCGATGCTTGCGAAACGAATGCTAGTAAAAGAAAGAAAACAGGTATAACATGCATCACATCTACAAGTGGATCAAAAATTGCATAGGCTTCTGGCAATTTAGCTAAAAATATGTGTATGTCTTGAAAAAATACGAGTTTTATTTGTATTTTTACATAATCAAGAATTAAGGCATTATTTTTTTTCTAATGAAAATATTATCGAAAACTAACTAATGCTTGCCAAACGAATGCAAGTAAAAGAAAGAAAACAGGTATAACAGGCATCACATCTACAAGTGGATCAAAAATTGCATAGGCTTCTGACAATTTAGCTAAAAATATATTATTAGATAATTTTATGCCTATTGAAGTACTTAAATGAGAATAAAAAATCATATACAACAACAAAACAACCATCAATGTTTGATAATTAACTTCTAAATGAGATGGTTTGTTTTTTAAAATTCGGTTATATCTTATATTTTGTTTGATGGTTGACTTGTTGAATAGAAATAAGATCGCCACTGGAAACTTGAACGCCGAAGGATAATTTGATTATTAACACAAATATTTTTATGACTTATAAGTCGATCCAATCTCAGTCAAACTCAATGTGAATTGTAGTCCAGATTCTTGTTGGTTTATTGAGGGCGACCGTGCAAGTCACCGAATGAATTGCCCACTTTGGCGTAGTTAAGCGGGACGTTGCAAATGTCAGCAACGAGACGAACACGAAAAATCTGTGAGTGGAAAAGGCACTCCCAGGCAACCGTCAGGTTGGAATTCTATATAGTAACCCCAAAGACTTACCTAGAAGAATTCGAAGCACTTACTCGAGGAATTGGTTCCCGGGTCATGAAAAAGTGTTGGTCAAACTTGCTAGAATAGAGGCTCCCGTGTCCCAAGCATGTGCCCATTACTCCAACAACTGCACCAAAGATTAGATATAAAGTGCCTATATCCTTGTGGTTTGTGGAAAACAAGCGAAGACGAAACTTCGTAGTAATAAAATAAATACGCGCAGCTAACTAAATGCCATAAAGGTTGCCCGTACTCGGGTTTGGTTGGTGGTGATTTTTATATGTACATTCTTACCACCAACGATAATGAGAAAATTTACGATTTGATTCAGCTAATTTATGAAGCTCATCTTTTTTTTTCCCTAGTAAATCCTTGTTAAGAGGGGCACCAGTCAGGGTAACTTCGTTGCGAGTTCGAAAACAAAAGACGAAATCATAAAGACTAAGGATGGTTGGGTAACCTTTGCAATATTTTTGTCCATTTTTGTTTTTTATGCACCTAACGTATTGGGACATCCTGACAATTATATACCTGCAAATCCTATGTCAACTCCAACTCACATAATGTCATTTTTTTATTTTTATTTTTATTTTTGTTTTTTTTCGTGATTGTTCGGCAATTTCTTTGACTACGATATTAAAAAAATTTGGATTCATTTTTAAGATTGAGAACATTCTCAATTGACTATGAAAAACTTTTTGGCTTTTTACAGGCACAAACTTAGTGCCATTTGATGAGTAACTAAAAAGTGCCATTTGATGAGTAACTAAAAATAAAGGAGAAGGATATAAGAAAAAATCAGTGATAAAAAAGAGAGTAATAGCAAGCAATAAAGATATTTCACGATCCATTGGTTTATAGAAAATCCATGTTTTAGGTTTAGGTCGGAAAACCCTTAAAAAAGGTTATGAAGCACGTAAAGAAATTCAAACTATTACAAGAATATTCGCCTGTTGTCCATCGACTGCGCCTTTCGGCCTGACTCACCCTCCGTGGACGAACCTTGCGAAGGAAGCCTTAGGTTTTCGGGGCATTGGATTCTCACCAATGTAATATGTGGTTTTGCACGTTCCACCACTTCTCCATTTGTACGATCCTGTCCTGGAAGCACGATACTCCCAGTGGACGCTTTACGTTCTTCCCAGGTTTCGACGAAATCGAGTTTATTGGATCTTTATCAAAATTAGATCTTTGTTCCACAATTTTTACTCTTAGATTTGGTTGTTTGACAGTAGAAACATTTACATGCATACCAAAACGATCTAGTAACTGAGGTCTTAATTCATCGTCTTCAAGATTTCCAAATCTAACAATGGTTAGCAGGATTGATTCTATGATGCAGATCCGAAGAGTGGAGATGAAGGTCAACGACCTTCCAATGCTGGTCTTGGCCAAGTTCATGTTACTGTACATTACAGTAACATACATGATGGTGGAGTGCCACTCGCCAGAGAGAGTTTGTGAAAGTAAGTAGACAATGGATCAGTGAGCAACTGTAATCGCCATCATCTTGGTCTGTGGGGCGATTACGTATGACACTCACTCTTTCTTTTCTTTTCTTTTCTTCGAGCATGAATCGGACTAAGATAGTCCTTTCTTCGTAGAGGCTCGCTAGAGGCCCAATTAAGTGGGGACAGGAGGTGAAACGACACTTGTTACAACACAGCCTTTAGGTAATACTGGTGGAGTCCACCAATAAAGGTGGATCGCAGAGGATCCGTAGTACCTGCAATGTAATTTAATTGAATGAATAATTTCATTTAATTAATTGAATTGGGGAAGGGATTTAAGAAAGTATCTGATAAGGCTATACTCAACATCGTCGACTTCGTGGAGAAAGGGGCATATATCCAGAAATATTTATCTATCCTAAGAGTAAATACTGGCAGTGGTTAAGATAGCTAGTCAAAGGCTACTAAAACACCAGATACAAAAACTACCCATGTTAATGATAAAGGCAAGAAGACTTTCCAGCCAAGTCTCATTAATTGATCATAACGATATCGTGGAAATGTTGCACGAACCCAAATATATAAAAACAGAAAGCCTTAGGCCTTTATACTGAACCAAATCGAGCCCGGAATCCAATAAAGAATAACCATATTCATGATGGGCAACCAACCACCCAAAAATAAAAGAGTACATAAACTACTCATTAATATYATATTAGCATACTCCCCTAAAAAAAAAAAAGAGCTGGCGACGATGACAATCTCCTGTTTGAGGGATCACTGCTCGTTGTCATTTCCTACCGTGTCTGTCATGGATTTTCTGGGTCTCTTGCCCCTGCCCTTTGAGGGCTTCCACTTCTTTGGTACCATGTCTCTGATTGGGTCCTTGTGGACCAGAGTTTTTGCACTCGAGCCGGACTCCGAGCTCGAGTTGTCTCTTTCCCTCTTTTTCTCATGATATCTGAAGGCGCTGAATTCTGACAACTCACTCTGTTCTCTCAGGATGTAGTAGGTGTTTGTGGATGTGTGGATGCCTGCTGTCGGGCCTTTGCTGCTCCGGCTTGTCTTCTCCTGATGCTTCATGCATGCCATTCTGATGTCAATTTTTTTCTCCCTCTCATTTTTAGCTCTTTCCAGATATTCCTGAAGCCAGGCAATGGGGGAGTCTCCCTGTTCTTTTGGTTTGCCTACTCTGTCGCTCTTGGAGGGAGATGTCCATTCCTTTGTGAGTACAGTCCTGGCCTGTTATCGGGGTGGGGTCCGAGATCTTCGGGGCTGCCTGTGCGCTCTATGTGTCAGCGGGGTTGCTCCCCTTATCAGTTGAGTTGTTCTTTCTTATTTTCTTTCCATCCAGTATCTCGGTGTTCTCCTTTCGTGGGGAGGCCTGTCTCTTGAGGGAGGGGTCCGTCTGAAAGGTGCGTTCTTCGATGATCTGTTTGGCTGCGTACAGGATGTCGTTGTCATCCTCTTGCTTGGCGAGGGCGTCTGCAGTCTGCTGTCTGATTGACTCAAGATCCCACAGCAGGTCTTCGTGTTTCTTCTCTTCTTTGATCGCCCAGGAGTCCACCACCGGGTCTGAGTAAATTTTCCCTGGGATCCCTGTTATCTTCTTTGCTCCCACGTGGTGCCATTTGCTGTCTGACGGTGTAAAGATGTCTGGCTGTTTGATTGTCATCGAAGACCCAGCCGTCGTAATCAAGGTCATTGACGAACCAGATACCTTTGGCCTCTTCAACTTCGACGAGCATGTTCTGTCTCAGTTTTTTTCTGTTCAGGGGAGCGTGGGCATTTGGGATCTGTTCCCAGATGGCCTCTTTCTCTGCACCTGAAGCATATTGGCGAGGCTTTGGTAGACACTGTTATTGACGTGACTTTGTTCCCAATGAGACATTGCCACTCCTCTAGGAACACTGGGGGGTCGTCCGTCAGTACCTCCAGGATTGCTGTTACGGAATCGTAGTGGGGGGCCAGGAAGTCGGGCGTGGGGAGGACCCACTTTAACACTTTGTTTGCTGCGTATTCGACTTCCAACCGGTCCTTAATCAGGGGATGGCCTCTGGGTCGGATGTTGTCGAATTGTACCCAGAACTGCTCCCTCGTCAACCGCTGTTTGTAGGAGGCAGCCAGTGAGACTTCAGCTCGCTGGGCTGTCTCCGGTTTCCAGCGAGGCAGGGTGCAGACAGATCCATTGCAGTTTAAGGTTTCACATTTCTCCAACATGTGTGTTGCTTGGTCTGCATCTTTGAAGACCATGATCATCATGGTTCTACCCAGGCCTACCACGGAGAACTTGTCAACTTCTGTTTTGATGTTCTCGTGTTCCTGAACGGTTTTCACCAACCATTTCCTTTTCTCGATGGGGGAGAGTCCCGCACCGGCATTGGAGAAGGAGAAGATCAGTGCGTGCTTCTCGTATGTCGCATTGGTGTCGGCGATCTTGTCTTTTGGGTACGCCCAAGCGGTCACTTCCTCATCGGTATTGTCTTTAACGTTTCTGGCCTTGATTGTGACTTTCTCTCCTTTAATTTTTGGGGCTTCCAACAGGAAGCGAAGTGTCTCATGATCCACGTTGGATGCGATTTGGGATGGGTCCTTTGAGGTGACTGTTTTTGTTGCTGCTACTGTGCTGTAGCGGCGTTGGTAGTTTTGGGCCATGCTTGTGCCGGGCGTGAGGCTGAGGGAGAGCCAAGGGAGAGGAGAGAGAGAGGGAGAGAGTGAGAGCACACACACACACACACTCACTCGACACGACTGAGGGTCGGACGCAGACACAGTGGCAAGGCACAAAGTCGAAGTCTTGGATTCCGAATGCCGAAACAGCAAGTCACACCGAGTAAGAGTACAGCAGCAGAAAACTGGTACGAGACTGGTCCCCGCACCGTACGGGGAACCGGTATAAGTTCCGGTGACACGTACGGTACTAGGTGGTAGTGGGGGAGGAGAGTGTGTTATGCTCCCCTTTCTGCGGAGTGTGTTTACTTAATGGTGAGGAATAGTGACGTTGAGGTTAGATCTTGTGAGAAAATCGTGCGGAGGGCAGTTTGAGTGGGGGAGCTTGAGTGGGGTGGGCACATGTTTGCTGTGATGTGGGCGAGTGGGGTTTTGAGGGGAGACGCGTGCGTGTTGGATGCAGGGTACAAGCTGGAACAGTAGGGCTGACGGGGCAACGGGGTGGGGTCTTGTGTTGCGAGATTCGTGGGGTTTGTCGGGCGAGAGAAGCAGGTTGGGGGGGACGACCGTGTTGCACCATCTAGGATGGGCTGAGGGTGTGCGGGGATCGTTGGAGATGGGGTGGGGGGCTGGAGTCGTGAGAGCAGAGGGAGGGGGGAGAGACGGAGTGTGCGTGCATGCAGCAGAGGTGGGAAAAAATGAGGCGTTGTCAGCAGGAGATGGGTTGCGGGATGATGTGACCTTACGGTGAGCTTTATCCGGCTGTTGTTGCCGTGGTGGTGG